AATTAACACAGTGTAAAAAAGGGCAGGGACTCTTTGTATGACACCTTGACAATGTTGTCCTGGCTTAGTGTTGCTGTGACAGACAGTACACGATTCAAAAGGGCATCGTGTTGGGTATGTGGTGCCTGTTTTCCATAAAAGGTCAGGGGTCCGGCGCCCGACACCTTGCAAGTTGATGGACTGAACCTGTCAACTGTGGTCGGGCGGAACACCTAGCCTGGTGCACGACATTTGGCAAGTTGAACCCGCAACCCGTCAGTACCCCTGCAACAAATGTGTCCACCATTTATCTTCCCGGAAGGACCTCCTTCTCCGGTTGACACATAATAGTTGAACAGTGTCACCGAATGATTCGGGAGTTAGTGGTGTTCGATAGAGCACCTTAAGGAAGTGGCAAACAGTCTTTCGCTCTCGATGCCGATTGCCAATAGCACTGTTAGGGGGCCTTGATGCTGGTTCCTGATATGTTTGGCGATCGAGCAGCTTGAAGAAGTGTGAAAGAGTCATTGGTTGTCTGTGTGGATTGTCATTAGCACTCTTAGGTAATCTTGATGCGAGATCTGATTCCAGGTCGTGAGAGAGAGAGAGAGAGAGAGAGAGAGAGAGAGAGAGAGAGAGAGAGAGAGATCCTTGCTTTAACCCGGAAAGGCATTGACAAATACTAGTTGAACAATGAATCAATTCGCAAATATCGGCTTGGTGACCGAACACCTTCAATAAGTGTCAAACAGTCGTTGGTTGTCTGTGCGGATGGCCACGCACTCTAAGGGAACCTTGATGCTGGGTGTAGATTTGTTTGTCGCAGGTTAGCAGTTGCCCACTGTCACGATTCAAAAGGGCATCGTGTTGGGTATGTGGTGTCTGTTTTCCATAAAAGGTCACGGCTCTGGCACCCGACACCTTGCAAGTTGATGGACTGAACCAGTCAACTGTGGTCAGGCGGAACACCCAGACTGGTGCACGACATTTGGCAATTTGAACCCGCAACCCGTCAGTACCCCTGCAACAATTGTGTCCATCATTTATCTTCCCGGAAGGACCTCCTTCTCCAGTTGACAGATAGTAGTTGAACAGTGTCACCGAATGATTCGGGAGTTAGTGGTGTTTGAAAGAGCACCTTAAGGAAGTGACAAACAATCGTTCGCTCTCGATGTCGATTGCCAATAGCACTGTTAGAGGGGCTTGATGCTGGTTCCTGATCTGTTTGGCGATCGAGCAGCTTGAAGAAGTGTGAAAGAGCCATTGGTTGTCTGTGTGGATTGTCATTAGCACTCTTAGGGAATCTTGATGCGAGATCTGATTCCGGATCGTGAGAGAGAGAGAGAGAGAGAGAGAGAGAGAGAGAGAGAGAGAGAGAGAGAGAGAGA